TAAACATTGATATGTTAATTCCGCACCTCAGTGGTTGGGTGAAGCCATGAGGAAGACACCATTAAACTTTTTATGTGTCAATTAACCTTAACTTGCATATTTGTACCTCAGACGATTGAATTCTTCCATGTTTTTTTATCCTACCAATTTGATAAAATTTTGAATATCCAACATTTTTAAAATAAATTGATTCATCTAATTAAAATGAATAAATAAACTGAATTGATAACTTTTAAATATAAATATGTATATATTTTTAAACGCGTATACTTTTTTATTTGACAAAAATAGCTTCGCCAAATCGTTAATAATAACCTCTTTCCAACCAACGCTGCATTTGGTCAGAAAGTTTTAGTACGTTATGTCACAGAATGACAGGAAGAGAATAACCGAATGAATAAATGAACACTAGGACAAAAGAATAGAAGGTGTGTGGTGGAGTGAGGTGGAAAGAAGATGAATGAATGCGTATTTTGGAAAAAGCTATCGTATTGTTTCGCTTCAAGGACTATTCAAAACAATTTTTTGACTCATTATTATTATTATTATTATTATTATTATATTATTATTATTATTCCTCCTTTTCATTTTTTGTATTTTTAAAATATTTTACCCACTCCCTCTCCTAACAGTCTTTTTTGTCTGTTTTGTCTTTTTCATTTTTATTATGAATTTTCTTTATCGGGACCCACCTCCCTTCTTTTTGTGATTTTTCTTTCTTTTTTTTTTTTTTAATACTTTTTAGAATTTATTTTTATAGCTTTCTATTCGATTTATTTATAGTGTTTTTCCCTCCCATATACACCCTATATATATATATATATATATATATATATATATATATATATATATATATATATATTGATTGATTGTGCATGTGTTCATATTTTAAGGAACTTTTTTATTGTATATTCTTTAATTTATATTTTACTATTTTTCTTTCTTCCCCTTCCCCGAATCTTTATTTTTTTCCTCCCCCAAATCTGCTTATTTTCCCCTTAATTCTTTTAATTTCCCCTTCCCTCCCTATCTCCCTCTTTCTCTCTCACTCGCTTTTCCTATTTTATTTCACTTCCATTTTTTTTCTTTCCTCTCTGCCTTGTTTTAATTGCTCTCGCGATCAATTGTGATAAGAGGGAGTACACTAGTGACGGACTGGGTCGCACACAAGACGCCGCACATCGCATTCATTCCTCCCCTCAATTTTTTTTTTTTTTTTTTTTTTTTTTTTTCGGTAGCCTATCAATTTACCCGAAGAACTCTATGTAATCCTGCAGAACAGGGAGGGCGGATTTGGTGACGGACAGGGAGTGGAGTAGAAAAAAGTGGGTGCGCGGATGGAGCTGAGAAATAAAAGATTGATGAAGAAGGAGAGAAAGGCGGTGGGTGAAAAAGAAAGATAAGAAAGAAAAATAACTGACTAAAAAGAGAGACTGAAAGAGAAACGATGGAATTGCAAGGAGTCAAAAAAGAAAGAAATTTGATGGGTGTTGGAAAGGTAGATGGCGAGGACGAATGTAGGAGATTGGAAGGCAAAGGGTTGGTTAATGATGTTTGGGGTGGTGGGGGGAAGAAACCTTTATAAAATAGTGGAGTTGGGATGGTGGAGGTTATTTTTGGGGCCATCAGGAAGATGACGTGTGGGCGAGTGATTTGCATTAGATATATCTCTCCTCTCTCTCTCACACACACACACGAAATTTAATGAACATTATGTTTAAGAAAGAAAAAATGACTATGGCCTTTAAATGAATAAAAGCGCGGACTAAATATATATAGAGAGAGAGAGACAGACAGATAGAACAAATGGCCCTATTTATTAAAATATTACTCAGAAACGTTTTTCTAACATTCTCTCCTATATACACACACATAAATTATATAAATTATTAGTTACAATATTAGCCGACGCTTAGCGCCAGTGTGGAACGCATAGGTTTCTAAGTACGTATATCGTGTTGAGCAAAGAGTGTTTACTACAGAGTTAAAAGAACCAGTTTACATATGTGGCTCGATAGACAAACGCCTACACACATACACAGTGAACGTATGTAATGTAAGCCGAAACCACATTTAAATGTGCGTGTGTGTGTAACGGATTGAGACGTGCTTATAAAACTCTGAGCGTAAGGATATGTGTAGATAGGAAGAGAGGTAATCGTTACATGTACGTATGTGTGGGAAAGAAAGAGAGGAAGAAAGAAAGATAGTTCAAGTCCATACGTACATGAATAGGCCACTGTGTGCTTATACGTTTGTAAGTATGTACATAAACGGAAAAAGGGAGTGGAGGAGGTGGTGGATATTCGGTGGGGTAGAAACGAAAGATTGTACTAAAGGAAAAAAAATGTGATGTGGCGGCGAAGTGGGGAGGGCGACGGGAGGTAGTCGGCTGTGGTTGGAGAGTGGATCTATAAAAGCGGGCCAGCAAAGAGAAAAGAGACGTAAAGAAAATAATAATAATAATAATAATAAAAAATAAATAGTGGTTGAGAAGAAAAGCGACGGGTCCCGCCTCCAGAGCAACCAAGCTGCCATTCAGAAGCACGTGCTTTTGAGGGACAGCCAGACAGTCGACCAATCGGGTGAGAGCAATCACTACACCGGCCCCGGGTAAACACACTCCATTTGCAAGAAGATGTAAACAGTTGTCGCTGTCTTAACAAAGAACTCGCCTACAGATGCCGTAGAAATTTGACACTGTTGTATAGCAAGCCTTTGGAAAATAAGAAGTTTAATTACCTTTTTGAAGCGAGAGGTGTGTGTGTGTGTGTGTGTAAGTTGGTTTTAGGGGAGGGGTAGAGTGGAATGTATAAGATAGAAACAAAATAGGAAAGAACGCAAAAAAAAAAAAAAAAAAAAATTTTGAGACTTAGTTGCACTACAGGCCCACCCGAAATTTTATATATATATATATATATATATATATACACACACATATACGTGTGTGTGGTGTGACTCGTATTAAAGAGAGTTAAAACGCACTATGTAAATCTCACACACAATTCTATATATCACATAAAACTTATATTTTCCCACGATGGTAGTATTATTTATAGTAAACTCTTTATATAACCCAACCCGACTTTGAGAAGGTTGAAAATGAATTACTTAGTCAAACAAAACGCTCTGTAGGTGGTGGTATGCTATCTATCAAAAGAGTCGGGAAATCGTTTGAATTCATTAAAAATTCTTAAGTCACCTCAAGTCTGTCTGTATTTTGCAAGAATTCCCAACTTAAAATCTGTTTGCATCTTTCGTTTAAAAAGTAGTCAGTATATATTTGACCGCGTAGTAAATTTAAAAACCGTTTTGTTTAACACTTAAAAAGTAATATATATATATATATTAGTCTGGGAAGGAAGAGTAGCGACTTGAAATTAAAAGTGTAAAATATTCTTTATTTCTTTGCCAACAAATGCTTCCCTCCACTTCTTTTCTGTTCTCGCAACATCGTGCATGTGTGTGTGAGAGATAAATCTACTTTAAACTTGCCTTTACAAGCTCTTTCGTACACACACAGAGAGCAAACACTTAGCAAGCTGCTAACAGTAAAAGGTTCTTCTTTCTATCTATCTCTTCCCAAGTACGATAATATAGTCAAGTTAGTTTTAAAAAGAGGAAAAAGCGAGACTAAATAATAAATAAAACGGAGGCGGAGAATCTGTTGTAGGCGTGTGCTTAACGAGCACCTTGAATTGATTGACGGCTGATTATTCACACCGAGCGTTAATATATGCACACCGACTGAGAGCGGCTGCGATCTGACTGGTCAAGAGGTTAAGTACCTGTGCATACTTAATGAGGCCACGTGGGGCTCTTCAGTCGATAGCAGTGTTTGTTGATAGGGCCAATCAGTTGTTTCCCATATATGGGAAGTATATTGTTACTCAGAGCTAATACCTCGTGTTGAATTCTACTGTGTGTGGCATCATTTGGCTGTATTCACACACAGAAACAGTACCTTGCAAAAACGGCACACTAGCTTTTTAAACAAAAAAAAAAAAAAAGAAAAGAAAAAGCTAGACTGGAGAATTTTTGACAGCATTTTTCTGTCAGTTATTTTTATTTTTTTTTTTTTAAACTTCGTTCATTCACTACCACCCCTCTTCATACTTCAAAAAGTGAAAGACAAAACACGGATTTTACAACTTTTAAACAGGAGTTTTTAAAAAGAGTACGCGCGCGAAGGAAGAGGGGTGAAAAGTTTAAAAAAAAAAAAAGAAAAAAAAAGTAAATTATACATGACCAATTGTGAATTTTAAAGATTTGTTTTCCCTGAAGGAAATAATTTCGGGATTTAAAAAAAAAAATCACAATTTTCTACGATTTTTAATATATTTTATTCTTTTTCTCTCGTGCGAGAAAAAAAATTGCACCTTGGATCAGAGATGAGGATTTTATTGTTTGAAATCATGCACTGGTATATTTACGATGCGAATAATCTAAACCAACAACATTTACCGCTTTCTTCGTTTTAGCAACGAACCAAAAAAATATATACATTTGTGGGATTTTACCGTTTCTGACTTGGGATTTTTTTCCACCTTTTTGTTGCCTGGATCGAAAGGATATTTAAAATATTTATTTACACCAAACGACCAGCCATTTACACTAAATGGGCTGGTGTAATCGTTGCAAGTTGTGATAGAGGAGGGTAAGAGAGAGGTGTGTGTTTGAGAGGAATAAAGAATATATATATATATATTATATATATATATATAGATCCTCGCCCTCTCTCTAAAAAAATAAAAAAAAAAAAATTATATGTATACACACACGCACACACCTATACATTTACATACATTACAATCATTACATGTATAAAAAAAAAAGAGAGTACATACCCCTATTTAAAATAATCGGATATATAAAGAAAGACGTGCTTTCTTTTTTTTTTATATCCGAGTTTTTCTTCGCTGAGAAAAAAAAAGATTGACCCAAGTAATCCGCTTACAGTGTTTTCCGGATTTTAATTTGTACATTTTAAATCGTCAAATATGTATCCAAATCGTCATCCTGTAAGTACTTAATTCCTTACCTAACAAATAGGTGTCTGATAACGTGTATCTACGCTTGCCTGTGTATTTTCTATTTACGTACGTAAATAACTTGCCTTTATTCGAGAGGGTGTGAATATTGTAAAAAAAAATTTTTTTTTTTTTTTTTTAGAAGGCTTAAAAAATACGTATTTGTGTTCATGTATAACTGCTAGATTACACTTTTATGCTCTTATAATTGAACATATGTATGTACAAAATTAACACGATCCTCCAAGTACATTTTTAAGGGTGCGTTAAAGAATTAGTCAGTTAACTGATCTATATCACACGGTTATTTTTTCTTTCTTCTTTGATTAAAGTGTAAATGTTTATAAAATATTGTTTACAAGGCATGTGGTTTACAAACTACACGTGTATGTACACATACATACATACATACAACACGTGTATTTGAGTACATGTCACATACTTAGAAAGACAGTTGTTAAATTTAACAACTTTTTTTTTTATTACTTTTGTGATCAACTTAAAATCCCTGATCATGTACATAGATAGGATTAAAACTTAATTGATCACTTCGTTCAACAAATATAACCTAATTCAATAAGTCGCAATGTTATTTAAAAGGAAAAAAATATTAAATTATCCAATAACCTATTTGTATTTCTAAACAAATAATTCCAGATGACTTGTCTTTCAATTAAAGTAATTATGCCTCTTTTGTCGCCTTTTTATTTAAAAAAAAAATCTAACCTACTTAAAAAAAAAAAAAAAAATCCATGTAATTATTTAACCTATGACCTGCAAAGTTATTAATTGCTTTTTTTTTTTTTTTGTGTAGTGTTCATTATTTGTTCTGTTTTCAAGACAACTTTTGTTTGTAATTTTTTATATAAGAATTTCGATTTAAACTTTTAAATTGTAGCGCTTTGTACTTCACTTCAAAATTAAGTGATACTTTTTCCTTTTTATTTTCTTTAACTCTTAGCCACTCTAGCCTAAAACTGTTAGAGTAACATCAAGTTTTAATTTGTAACCATTAACCCCTTCGCCCCGATATATTTTTTTTTTTTAAATACGCACTTATTTTTATTTGTAGAATCCTCATCAACCTGGACAGCCGTTCAAGTTTACAGTTGCTGAATCATGTGATAGAATTAAAGAAGAATTCAGTTTTTTGCAGGCTCAGTACCACAAGTGAGTGTCCAATTTGTCTATATAGTGTGTGTGTGTGTGGAAAAGGTTCTTAAAGATATGTACATGTATAATCGAACGCATTTCTCTCGTAAGGGGAAAACAAGGGATGTGTGTATTGAAAAGAACAAGAAAGCAAGAAAGATATAAGGAGAGTATTTTAAGAATAAGTAGTTCTATATTGGCCATAGACACCAGGTGCTCGTTTTCTATGTTACGTAGAATGAACTGCTAACTGATTTTTAGCAAATAGGGCATGTCAAATTAAATATGTTTGCTTGGAAAGAAGTGGGGGGATCAAGCGAGTAACTTTTTTTCCTTGACTTTTTTATTTATTTTTTTAAATACGATTTTGAAACAAGGCTTTTTTTTTTTTTTTTTTTTTATATAATTGAAAACAAAAATCAATTCATTTTCCATAAAATATGTATTTTAGGATAAGAAATATTAGGTCACATGGCTTTCTTGCTGTAAATCTTACTGTTGGCAAGAGGCGGGTAAATGGCTCTATCCGGACGTCTTGTTTTTTTTTTTTTTTTTTTTTCGTTTAAACAAAAACAGATTTTTAAATATTTAAGTACTTCAATACGTTTTCCTTTTTGCAATATGAGGTAAAGTAAAAGAATAAGTCAGTCATGAAAAAGCAATTATAGATCTTGCTTTCTTTTCTCTTTTCGTCTTCATAAAATCGTTCATACATCACTATTTTTATTGGTCTTCTCACCGGCCTCTTCATCTCTACTTGTCTATTTACATTTTGCAATAACGTGAAAGCCATGCACAGGAGATTTTCCTCGTTTGTTTCTTTAAACAATTCTGGAAATATGGTATTGAAAAATCCTCTTTTTATTTTTCTCTTACAGCCCATGAATTTTTTCTTAAATATATTTATTTTTCTCATTAGGAATGTTTATTTCCTTTGTTTTCTCCACCTACCTACCGACGTACTTCCCTATTTTTTTTTTTTCTCGTAAGCTTGCATATTCTTATTGATCTGTCATTTCTGGAATATGCGTTGTCTTTTTTGGGTTTTTTTTTTTTTTTATTCGCTTTTTATCTTCTGGACAGAACAAACCACTTGCGAAATGTTCTGTGTACTTATTCGAGTCTATATATAGATAATCTGATTTCGATTATAAAGACTGCCTGATAAATTAATCTAGCCAGATGCGGTGGGGTGGGTGAAGATATCACCATTAATTTCGCTACTTACTCGCTCTATTATTGTTATTGCTAGTATGAAAAAAAAATACACTATTAAACTTGGTCTGTTAGACCAATGCAGAATAAAACGTTTTTAACTTATCATAGCGTGTGAATATGCCTTTTAATTTTGACAGCACTTGGTTTCTGGTTTATAGAAATCATTTTAAAGATTTTTTCTTCTCTAAACTCATGACAAAACCATCTGCGAAGAAAATAATATTTTAAACATGGGAGGGAAAGGTGTGCCTCTTGATCACGTGATCTCCTTGTCGTAAATAGTACCTATGACAAGTTACATGATGTGCTTCCTGGAGATTTTTCTTTTCTTTTTCTCTCTTTAATTCTCCGTTTTGAATGATACAGTCGCCAATGTCTAGTTTTTTTTACTTTTTGCCAAGTGTGGGTCCATACCGGGTTTTCAAAAGCCCCCCCATGAATCGTCTGAATTTTTAATTTTTTTTTTTTTTTTAAACCATAAGAAACTAGTAAGTCACTATATTTTTCGAAACGAAATGTGGTTATTAACGAAGAAAAACCCTAATCATTTGTTTCATATGACAAGTCAGTAACCACTAGCCATAAAAAAATTAAAACGTATTCGCTTACGTTTTCTTTTCATGTACACAATTTCTTCTTTAAAATAATACCGCAAATATTGTTTGCTAGTAAAATCTAAAATACCCTTCCCAATTGAATGCGTTTCGGTTAATGCATGTGTAACTACTACAGTGTACGTGTTAGCTCGCTTTGCTCTGATCTAATTACACATATACGTCCTTATATATGCTCTACGTACACAAGCATTAATGTCTATTATTAGTATGTATGGTCCGGTCATCTCGTCGTCATCATCGCCAACAGCTTCCGTGTTCATGGCAATTCAAAATGAACGAAGGAACCAGAAAGAAAGAAGAAACGAGTTTCACTCTCCATTCTCCCACCGTTCGTTTTATTGATCTGTTATTCTGAAGTGGCGTTCTTCTAATTTCTCAAATTAACGCCTCCCAATAAACCACTATTTCGTCTCCCTCTCCCATGTTCCCTCTTGTCACACTACCTTGCTTCCCCTTCTCTCTCAACATGGTCATACATAAACATTTTAATTTATATTAGGATGAATGTAATTTTTCGTCTTTTCATTATTTCCTTACAACTTCCCCATACAAATGCCCTTTCCTTCCTAGCTATCTCAAGTCATAGATGTCAACAAAAAACAATTTAAGAGAAATATTTTTCGTTTTAATTAGTTATTTAAATGGTTTCCTAAGAATCTCTGATCCATAACGGGTTTAAAACGTTATAATAAACAAGCTGTTTTTATATATTTGACTTGAGCAAGTGCCGACAAATACCTACGCATGTGTCCCCCCCATTCATTACACAATTCATTAATCTTAAGTCTATTGCTTTGTTTTTGTCTATTAAATCGGCAGAAACTCAATATCTCAAATTGGAAAGCATCTTTCTTTTCTTTTTTTTTCCACTCTTTCTTTCCATGACATTAGAAATACTTTAAGAGGCATATTTAGACGAGGTATGTAAAAATGTAGGTATGAGAGATGTTCGTTATATTGATCCATTATTCTACGAATGACCTCCTCATCCATTTCTACAATTGTTTTATCTGTTTTCTTTTCCCTGTTCAACCAGCAGCATCTTCTGTGCACTATAAGTAATTTCTCCTTTCGTAGCTGCATGCCTGACACTTCAGTTATATTTAGATGAAGAGAAATTCGATTTCGATTTTTTGTAATTTACTTTTTTTTTTTCTTTCCTAAGGCAAGGTTTTGTGTTTGAGTGTCTGCTAAAGACATTTAACTGCAATGAGTCGTTATGTGAGAAATTTATTTAAAATAAAACTAAAAATAAAATGTTCATTTAAGAAATGAGTTTATGAAGAAGCTGATTTTTTTTAAGTTGTTGATCATGTTAAATTATAAGAAAAAAAAGTTAACCCTTTTTTTTCTTCCTTCCAGTTTGAAGATGGAATGTGAAAAACTAGCACAAGAAAAAACAGAAATGCAACGGCATTACGTAATGGTAAGTAAATTTTGTGAGTAATTCAACCAATATAACAAACCAAAAGCAAAAATCTTCAAATATTTGCATCTAAATTATATGATCATACTTACAAAATTAGTGTTTTGTCTTTTTTTATAAATTCTAAAAAATTTTTTAAGTTTAACTTTACCTATGTATTTTAATTTTTGAGGTCTTTTTTTGTTTTTAACTAAAAAAAAAATCCTTGCTGAAAAACAAAAAGCAATTGATTGTCAATTTTTAAAGAATTTTTAAAATTTTACGGAAGTTAGGTTTTGTATCAAAGTTTAAAACTTTGAGAGCTATGAACTTTCAAAGCATTTTTTAATTACGTAACAATAACACTTTTAATAAAAAAAATTGCCATTTCATTAGCTTTTACTCTAATTTTTTTTACAAAATTGGCAATTAAACCTAAAACCAGAATTCAGTTTTTCTTAGTTAAGATAAGAAATTAACAATGTAATTAGCACAATACAACAAACGTACTTGATAAACTTTTAGTTTTTATATATTTTAATTTTGAGTAAATATTTATGTAGAAGTTTTTTAAGATACTTACCCAAATTTATATAAAAGAAAGGACTGAAATTAGCAATGGTTTTTAGTACTTTTTTTATTTATCCTGAAATTGGATTTCTTAAGTTTAAAATCAATCAAATCAAAAATAAAACAAAAGTTTATGAATGATTTTTAATCCAAACTTCATGAATCTAAAAGAAAAAAAAACTTCAGTAGACAAAATAGTTTTGAACACTTTTAAATTAAAAAAAAAAATCTTTTTTTTTTCTTCTTTGCTTAAAGCCTCCACTTCAGGTGAATTAAGAGATTACTTACTACATTGTATCATTTTGTCCCACGAGGTTTTTCCCAAGTTCTATTAATTAATTGGGGGGAAAAATTCCGCTCTTTAAGCGACTTCTCGCCTCCCCACCATCTCATTCATAATTTTTCTTTTTAACATCGGAAAGTTAAGAGGATTTTTATAAATTTATGTAGAAAATCAATTAAAGTTTCTTTTTTTAAATAACGAACCATTATGTACACCAACTTTTGTTGCATTTGTGTGTCGATTAAAAACGAATCATGTTAAAGTCGTGTTCAGTGACAAGCAATGTCGCCATTATTCGCCATTGGCTAAAAAAAAAAATCTTGTTTTAAACAATAAAGAAACGTTTAAAACTTTCTCAGTTGACTGTACAATAATAGTTAAGGCTTTTTTTTAAATTCTCTTATAAAAAGTATTAGAAATATTTTTAAACCCCATTTACGTATCCTTGTGAAATTAGGGTGGTTGATAATGTTTCTTAAGGAAGAGTAAAATTAAAAATAAACTTATTTGACAAGGAAAATACCTTTTTCTTGTATCGTAAAGAAAATTAAAATGATGGTATCTGAAATTAAAAACTTTAAGATTAAAGAAATTTTTAGCACCTATTTTGTTCTTTTTATTTTAAAAAATAGATTTTTCAGCAATAATTGCTAAAATTTTTTTTTTTTAACAATGTTTTGTATTTTTTAATAAAAAAATATTGATTGCTTTCAAAAAATAGTTCATTATTTTTGTTTCAGTGACAGTTTCGTAAAAATGGGTTTCTTTGTTTATTAAACATTTTAGAACTTTCTAAAAAAACTTTTCTTTTTAAACTGTTTTTTAAATTTGTAAGATAAAAAAATTTCACGTTAATTTTAAATTTTATTTTTCCTCTCACATTGACGCTTTCTTTTAAAATAAATTCTAATCCGCTTTTTTTAAATTTTATGGTTGAAGCCGTGCCTTTTAAGTTTTTTTTTTTTTTTTTTTTACAAACTTAAATTATCATATGTAATCGATATTATCGTAATTCTTTCTAACACTACTCCCATCTCTTGAAAAAAAAAAAAATTGACTAAAAAAAATCCATTGGGAGTTTTAATTAAAAAAATTATTTTAAAATGATCTGCAAAAAAAAAATTTATCACAAACTGGCCAGTAAGCTGATTTTATTTTCTAATAAAGAAAACAGAACTTTGTTTTAAATTTTTCGAAAGTTAACCGTAAGACCGTTAAATAATGACCGTTATTTTCAAGCTTGATTTATAAATGATGGCTACATTATGTGCTTAAGTGGCGTTCGCCCAACAATATTGCTGGGAAGAGACAAACTAGCATTGGATTCCTTTGTTTTCGCCTGCTTCCCACATTTTATTTTGTGTGCGTGATTTATTTTATTAATAGAACGTTGGTCCTCAAAATCTCATTCTCCTTCTGCCACAATTCAAACCATGAAGTTCAAAATTCAGTTTTTTAACCAGTTCTAAAATCTCGGAAAAAGATTTTTTTTTAAGACTGACCCTTCTTTCCTTCCAGAGAGATAATGTATTTGCCCAGAAAGACTTTTTTTTATCTCTGAAATAGCTACCCTTAACTTAATGTAAAAAATAATATCTAAGTAAGTAAAATATGGTCCCATGTTAACTTGAATTTAAAAAGAAAAATACTTGTCTTTTCCAAATAACATAATCCAAATAAAACTAAAATAAAAATGTAGTAGAAAAGAACCTTGAATAATATAATTCTTTTTACTTTTTTATTAAAGAAACCTGTTTCTACACACAAATGATATTTTAATTATTAACCCTATTCTCAATGTGGAAGATTAAGAACTTTATTTACAACGAATTTATAAATTAATCTTTCAACTCATTTTTATGATCTGTAAATTTAAGTAATACTTCTTAAAAGCTGCTATGTAGCCTTTTTAGTTTTTACGTTTTCTTCCTCCGGGTTAGGTAAGAAATGTTAAAGTGCTTAAAGATTTCCTGACACACGGTGTGAATGTTTTGTTTTGTTTTTTTTTTAATTTTTTTTTATTGTAAATCTTTGGTTTTGTGACTTGAGTGACTGACCAAGCTACTTCCTGTTGTTGGCCTATTAGACCTAAACCATTTGATAAACAACCTAGTATTTTTTCTTTTTAAGAGACTATTACTGGAGCATATTTATTTAGTGACCCACGTTCTACTGGGAAAACACACGGTTCTTTTTCCTGGGTACAGGGAAGTTTTGAATGGTTTTTTCTTGGACAAAGAAATTCAAAATCATAAGCTTTTCTTTCATAATTTTTTTTATTTTTATTTTTTTTTATTACAAATTTTTAAATAATTATATATTAAAATTTACTTATTAAATAACAAAACTATGCTTGGAATTACTATTGTATGAAACTATAGTTTCCTGCTCTACAAGACTTTTTCTACCACTACAAAAAGAATGTCCAAAATCACCTCGTGTCTTTTTACCAGTAGGTTCTGCAAATTTCTTGGCCCAACCCCACAAAATTCGATTTGTGGACTTTCTCAAGCGTAAAAATCTTTCAGTACCCCTCTCTACTCCAGTGTTAACATCTAAACAGCTGTTTGGCACCTTTTGTCTTTGATGGCCGCTGACTGAAATATGATTAATTTAAGGTTACTAAATCAAAATAATGCTAAAATACATTTTTTTTAAATAAAAAAAAAAATGTAAAATACAGATGGATTATCAGTAAAATATTTGAGCTAGGGTCAGAGCTTTTCCACATATCTTACATGTGCTTGTATCATTTTGTGAAATGGGTTTGAAAATGTTTGCATCTATAAACCCATTCTAATAGTCTTGCAGAGCAGTGACATGAAGTGAATATTTTTCTAAAATGTTCAAAAGAAAGTGCATGTTTAATCATCATTGCCTTTAAATAAAATAATCACAAGCACTGACTGAATATTTATTAGTAATATTTATTTTCCTCCTTTTGACAGCAACATGAGGATAATCTTGTTTGATAAATTTGGAGCTTAAATTGCAACTTACTAGTTTTGTCATATCAAAGAAAACTGAGTATTTGCATAATCCTGGATTTATTTTTTATGAAGTGAAACCTTGTAACCCTACCAACTTAAGCCTACCTGGTCATTAACTCAATAGACATTAAAAAGGTCCAACTTTAAGAACGTTTCTGAAAAATATGAATCTCTTAAAATCTCATTTCGTGTTTTATATCTTATCAGTTAAAAAGTTGAAAAATGATGGCAGTATCCCAACAAAATTTTGAACTTAAAATTTCAGTTCTGAACGTGTGTGTGTGTGTGTGTGTATATATATATATATATATATATATATATAAAAAACCAAATTTCCTGATGGGTGGCTGCATTATTGACAAAATAAGTGAACATTTAATTTTATTGCTAGATGTAAAAATATCTTGTGTATCACTTTAACAAATGTCATCTTGGGTGTCACTTCTCTCGTATGAATTTGGAAGATAAAATTGAGAAATTCTTTATTTTTAAAACTGTTTGGTAGTTTTCTTGATTAGATATTACTTTTAAAGCTCCTATTATAAATCCTGGGATGTTAGAGAAATAACTGGTCCTTTGTCTTGTTCTCACTAGTACGCAGATGAGTTCTCATGTCTTCATTTGGACTCAACGTAGGATAGGTAATAATTATTGGGGTGTAGTCAGCTAACCATTGTGGCATGTCAGTAACTAAATGTTGTCATATCTGACACTGGAACAGTAGGAAAACAGCATTAGTACAAGGGGAATTCAGTGAGAATTCAAAATCTTTTCCAAAATGGTAACCCTCTTTACTTCCACACACAGAATATGTATCATTCTCAGACACAAGTCATATGTAAATATAATTAGAAAGATGTTATGCTAAGTTTGGCATAAGCATCTAACAAGATTGCAATAAGTAAAGTGTATTACCAATAAGTAAAGTGTATTCCCAATTGAGCTATAGATAATACATTAAAGTAAAAAATAATTTCAAAAGTTCATTGGTCCTTAGGATGGAATTGGTCTTGTTGTGGAGGGTTGTGACCCCCTGGTTAACCATTGCATTTAATGGGAAAGGATCTGGGTCAGTCTCTGATGCTTGAGGTGCTCTCCCAAAATGGTGAAATGGACAATCCCTGATACTACCTTTGCACATGTATATCTGGGTAGCTTTGCTTTAATTTTGACCTTGT